TTATTTTCCTTCTCAAAATGACAATTAGATGCTTCGGAATTGATGAATTTTCCAGAATGCTTAATTAGAATTTAGCATGAAAGGATTAATAGGACAAGCGAAAAGAAATCTAACAAACAACATATCTTTGGTAACATTAATAATAATAGCTAAACTTGTATTAGAAGGTAATTATTTATTTATGCTTCTTAAAAACTTTTTTTTACCTTTTCTTTCTTATATTGCAAAGAATGGAAATTTTTACTTTCTTTTCTGTGGTTTAGAAATAAAAATGCCAACATTTAATTTATTGGTTTTTTTTTTCGATTAATTGCTTATCTTCCAAAGTCAAAAAAAAGTCAAAATCAGTTTATTGGCTATTTCCTTCTTCCGTTTCATTGAATGGAAATTTTTTTTCGAGAAAAAAGCATACATTTTGCTTCGAATTCATTTTGATCCCTCTAATATATCCTTCCATCAAGTATTTTGGGAGAAAAGTTTTTGCTTTTACGATAACAATTTCTTGGACAATATAAAAATAGAAGAATTAATCTTATAATTTTTTGCAAATGCTTCCACCATTTTTATAGCACTTTCATGGAGCGTCCAGGAGATGAGGAAACTTGAAGGAAAGAATTAGTCATAAAATTTTGAAAAAAATATGAAAAAAGAAAATAAGTGTAATTAATTTAAAAAAAAAGGTCACTTATTTTCTCACTTTGATATTATTTCTTTATTGATTTTTTCGGAGATATGTCGATAATGTTATCAAAATTGGCGAATTTAACAAGGATTTTGGATCAAATTTCTGAAAAACCATACTTCGAGTTGCCAATGCAATTATGCATTCACTAATGCAAGTAAAGTTAAGTGTCAATTTACAAATAGAAAATTTGTTTCCCAATTATTTTACACTCATTTTCATTAGTTCGGAGGATCAATTCGATGGTAAAAGATACTTCAGAAATATTCATTACTTCTAATTTAAAACTTTATTATGATTTTTCATTTTATTGTGACTAATTAAAAAAAAAAACCATTTATTTCCTACTTTTATGTTATTTCTTTATTGATCTTTCGAAGATATGTCCGTTTAATTTGAAACAAACAATTGCACTAAATTATTTCAATAAATCATTCCTATCTTTTCATTTAAATGATTCTGCTTCTATTTTATGTGTTTATTTTCTTAACAAATTTTTAAAAATATCTTAAATGCAATAAAATTTATCTCATTTCGCTATAGTACTTAAAATGACTCGCATTTTTCATCACTTCATCTTCAACTTCTCTCATAAAATTATTGTTTAAATGATCTCAAAGGCAAATTAAATTATACCGATTAATCTTAGCCTCGATATAACCAATCTCTGCAAAATTGTAACATTCGTTATTTTATTATCAATGCAAAATATTTTATTGTAAATGAAAAAAAAACCAGAAATAATAATCATATTTATAGTGATATCATTGTTAATATTAGGAATTATATCACTGTTATTATCACTATTCCTCATTTCTATATAATATTTCATGAAGAAGCTCATATAATAATAGCAATAATCAATTCTTATAAATTATAATTTCAGCTAAAATTTATAATGCGTTTTATTTTAAATGTCATTTATCTTTTTTTCCCAGAAAATTTTGAATGTATTTGTGAAAGATTTTTGAACAAATTAGAAAGCAATTTTGTTGAACAATTGCTCATCCTCTCTGCTTCACATCATTTATTGTAGGAGATAAATCATTTGATAATTTTGTTGATTAGGAAAAAAATGATTATTTCACTTTCAACAAATTATTACTGATAGAAAAACAAGGAAATATAATGCATGCGAGAAAAATAATTCAAAGGAATAAATTATTAATATTTTAAATTAAGAACGAAGAAAAAAGGAAGTATGTAAGGAAAATAGAATTATAGGAAATAAAGAAGAAATTTGTTTTTTTTTTTTTCAATTTTTCCTTTCTTTTCAAATTGAACTACTATTTGGAATGAAAAGTTTAGCAATATAATTTGCTGAAAAATATTTTCAAAAATGCTTTCATAAATATTAGTTTTAGCTTATGCAAAAGTAAATACCGAATTGTTAAAATAAGAAATTCTAACTTGTTACCAATTTTAACTGTTACAGCAATATTAATAATTGGAAATATCTGAAATGAATTTAAATTTAAATCCAGGTTTTCTATTTGTTATGATACCATCGCAGTTATAATTTTCTTAATGATTTAATTACAGATATTTTGGATGCATTAAAAATATTGCTTTCAAATTTAATTCATTTCTGTCTCGCTTTTTTTTGCATTCATCTGTTATATTTCATTACTTTTTTTGCTGATCTCATTGAAATTATATTTTCATTTTTTGAGTATCAGCAAGTACATATCGGCCGGATGCAACCTATAAAATCGAACATAAAGCAATTTTTCATGATATTTTCATTCGTTAATTTTAGTAAAATATCAAAAATTTCACTAGAACAATGAAGACAGTCAAAAAAAATTGAATTCAATTTAATAAATAAAAATATTTTAGACGTAAGTAAATGCGTAGGATATCACGGATGAAATATATAGATAAATTAACGGAAGGATATAATTACATAAAATTTAACATAAAAATAGTTTTAAAATATTTTTGCCAGGAATTTTATTACAATAAAGCATTGACTGTATCATTTAATCATAGGCAGTTATTATCCATACTGTATTTTGAATATATAATCGTTTATTATTACATTTAATCATAATCCATTAAATTATCGCCAATATAACTGATTGACAGCTTAGAATGCTTTTTTTTTCTCACTTCTCATTTATTTGCTGATATTTTCATTCTCGACATTTTGTTTTTCATCCAATGAAAATTCGATATTCATTGTTGAAAGTTTATTTTCAATATTCATTCTCGACATTCATTGTTGAAAGTTTATTTTTAGGGAAGGATATATGTGATCTCCATATGGATATATTTAATGTGCATTTGAGAAATCTGCTAACAAAGATTACGTTAGCATCAAAACATAAATGGCATTAAATTTTGTGAATTTTATGATGATTGTTTAAAATGACAATACTATTAAAATTAATTTAAAAGTACATAAGTGGTATGTTTATGCATAGAAAGTATGTGCTTTAAAATGGTTTATTATTTTTGATCGACCATTAATCTGAGTGAACGTTAAAAATTGATAGAATGTGAATGTTAAAATGATTATTTTGATCATAGTGATTGCAGTTCAAATTCAGTTTTAGATTTTGCTTTCAAAAAAAAATTAAATTAAATGGAAAATTTCAATTATAATATTAAAAAAACTATTGCTTACATTATTAATTGAAATAAGTATTAATTTTATGATCAAATTTAGATCGATCAATCAAAGATTATTCTGGAAGGCATCAAAATCGACACATTAATTTCTGTTCACTTCAATTTTACAATTTATTCTCTGATAGTATCGTATTGAGCTGATGCAATTTGTCGTAATGTTTGAGCATATTTATTCATCGCTATGAAACGTTTCTGGAAGTGGGTTGTGGATCAGAAAATAAGTACCATTCGAAAATGGCAATCAGTTATGTTCCATCTCGATCGTGATCATCAACACAACGGAAGTCATCTGAAACCGATCGGTGGTAGCGATGATGAATTGGATCGGACGCAGAAACGAAATTCGAAAATTTTTCAAGAGCAGAATGATGATTATCGATCCAGTATTTCGTTACAGGATTTTGATGTTGCGTATGAAAGTGAGCCAATCGATTTTGAAGAATTTTTCGACGAATCATCAGTTGCCATCGAATCAGCTTTAGTAAATTTTTTGTTTTTAATTTTTTGTATATTAAAAAATCAGTTCCACTATCAATTCCTTTTTTAGATTCGCAAAATTTTAGCTCTATTTGAAAAGTTGAAAATTCACTAACCAAACTTGAAATTTCTGTTTAATTGTTCAATTTGAAATCGAGAAAAATCTATGTTTGTGTGTGAATGAATTATAATTGTATTTGATCGAAGCATTCGATCATTGTATAACAATTGCTAAATGAATTTTACGAAGGTTTTCAGATGCTTATCATCCATTGTAATTTTTTTTTTTGCATTAATCCGAATTATCCACTCTTATCATCTTATTTTATTTTTCCTTAATGATATCATCACGATGATTATTTGAAGTACTGGAAAGTGAACTTTGTATTTCGAGGAATACTTTAGAACCTTTCCTAAGAAACTGTCAAGTTCTGCTTTTTTTT